TTTTTCCAGGACAGATGTTCGATTCTCTACATCTGAGATTCGATCTTCTGTATGATCTAATCTGCTTTTGTTATTTTCAAGGGAAGTTGATTTCCTATATAGTAAGTCTTCATCTCTAACAATTTCATCTGGTTATTTTTTATGGTGTGTATCCCAAATTTTGCAACCTCATGTATGACTTAATGACTGCCACCAGCCAATCTCGTACCATTTTTATTTACAAATGAATATATCAGAATTTAAATATCCTTTTTTTTTTTTCTTTTAGGTCAGGCCAGTTTCTTGTGTATTAAGATTTTTCAGGGGGCTGGCAGGTGGCGTGGTGGTTAAAAGCACTGGACTCCCACATGGCCAACTGTGGTTCGAGTTCCCGGATCTGATGGCTTGCTCTCTCTCTCTCTCTCTTTGTCTCTCTGTGGTCAAAATTGAAAATAATGATAATAAATAAATTCTTTAAAAAAAGATTTTTCAGAACATTTTTTACTTTGAAAAATTTCAAGCTAGTGAAAAAGTTGAATAAATAACAATAAACACCTGTATGCCCAAGTCTTTGATGTGGGCATGGTGAATTAGTTCTACCATTTGTCAATAATTTGCTGTATTTGTTTTATTGCTCCTATTTTGTTGGACCAATTGAAAGTCATTTGTAGAAAGGCTGACAGGTAGTGTGGTGGTTAGGGGCACTGGACTCCCACGTGTCCAACCACAATTCAAATTCTGAACCTGGCGGCTTGCTTTCTCACTTTCTCTCCCTCTGTTCCTCTCTGTCCAATTAAAAAGTAAGTAAATAAATAAAGTTAAATAATAATTCTTTTTTAAAAAAGAAAGTCATTTGCAGAAATCACGACTTTCACTTGAAAATATTCATCATGTATTTCCTAAGAACAAAAATATTTTCCTGCATAATGACCATGCTGTTGTCATATCTAAGAGGACAATGATATGTCTAATATAAAGTCTGAATTAAAATCTGTCATTTTTCTTTTCTTTTTTCTTTTTTTGGAGAGGTTTTTGCTATAGGGCTCATGCACTTCCCAGAAGACAGAGACAGAGAGACAGAAAGTGAGAAATCACCCTCCTGGGGGGATAGCCATGCCACAATCCCTTCTCCTCTCAGGATCTTGGGCATGCATGCACACGTACCTGGCATAAGTTTAAGCCACCTGGTCTGGCACCATGGTCAACTACATGGGAGTCCAGCAACATAGCCATTATACCATCTGCTGGTCCCAAAATCTGTCATTTTTCTTTTGGTTTGTCCAACATCAATCTTTGCCATTCCAGTAACATCCTTTTTTTTTTTTTT